CATATAGAAATATAAAAGAAGAAGAGGAAAGTAGAATAATAATAAGAAAGAAGAAGAAGAGGATAATAAGAAGAGGACGAAGAAAGGAAAAATCCAAAGTTCCAAATATATCAATTTTAATTTACAAACGCTTTATGCAAATTGATTTTTTAAATTGCTCGTGTAGGGTAGCTCATGTGCTTCATTTTCCATGGATAATCAAGCCCAGGGATAAAAAAGTTCAGGCGAGCGTGAGGACAGATAGAAATATAAAAGAAGAAAAGGAAAGTAGAATAATAATAAGAACATTGCTCGTTTCGTTTGAGTCTGCCTCCCAAAATTATTGGTTTCGCTTGACACATCCTGAAAAGTGTGATCGCTTCGCTTGATGTTGCTATATCAACATCGCTTGATGTTGCTATCTCAACATAGCGTTTCGAGGTGATAATGAAGTTCGGCCTCAGCGCTCGCCGCCCAATTTGAATTTTGTATAGGGCGACGATAATCAACTCTAAACACTGAAGGGGGGGTCCCTTTATCATCATCGGCATGCGGTTAAACAATCTTTGCACCCCCGAGTTCATGAGCGGCGGGCAGGCGGCATGGGAGCAAAGTCCTTACGGATATCACTATTGACACCAAGTGCGCCACAACCATCTGGAATACGCTTCACAAAACGGTTGACCTGTGTGTGGCGATCGCTGCGGCAAAGCCGCTGGCCAGCGACGTGCCAGGTCACGGTGGCCGCAGGGACCACTGCAACGTCGCCGCGCTGAAGGCCTGGCACTGTCCTGGGATACAGGCCTCGGAAACAATTAGCGAACATTCATGCCACATTCATCCGTCAACGCCTCCCCCTCCCCCCAATGTTCAAAGTTGGCGGTGAGTCCGATGAGATGCACTTCGACCGCAGTCCCCCCCCGCGCGTGCCAACATTGATTTTGAGGAGGAGGGGGAGTGTTCAGTAATTGTTTCCCTCTACCGTATCAACGTCGGGATAGCAATGCGACGTGGTCGCCTGATGCAAGGGCGGGTGAGCGACCGAGGCGACACCGAGCTCGACACCCCGGAGGAATCTCATGCAGGCTTGCAACGGCCACCGCACCAACGGCGGGCAGGAGGGGAAACGCGGGTGCGCGGAGACGCTCCAGGCTCAGCAAGTGGTTGTGCCAAGACGGGCTGGGAGGAGGAGTAGGAGGAGGAGGAGGAGGAGGAGGAGGACGAGGAGGAGGAGGAGGCTGACAATGGTGATGGTGATGGCTGGCAACAGAAATGAGGGCAGATTGGATATGGAGGCGGCCAGGGGTCTGAACTGGCTGGGGCCACAACAAAATTGGTCAGGAGGAGGAGAAGGAGGAGGAGGAGGAGGAGGAAGAAGAGGGGGAGGTGGGGGAGGTGGGGGAGGAGGAGGAGGAGGACAAGGAGGACAAGGAGGAAGAGGAGGAGGAGACGGGGAGGAGGAGACGGGGAGGAGGAGACGGGAGGAGGAGACGGGGAGGAGGAGATAAAAGATAAGACCCACTCCGCTCAAAATCGGTTCACGGACCCCTCCCGGGGTCCACCTGGTTCAATGTTTCACCCCAGATTGGTTGTTCCTGGCCCTAGGCCCGAAAACAACCCCCAGGAGGCCGCAACGAAGCCAAGAACCCTTCCCAAACCCAGCGCCCTAAACCTGCCCGCCCTTCCTGCTGGCCCGAACCAGCGCTGCGCTCCCTCAGACACCCAGCCGGCTCCAAGCTGGAAGAGGAGGAGGAGGAGGAGGAGGAAGAGGAGGGAGAGGCGGAGGAGGAGGAGGAGGAGGAGGAGGAGGAGAAGGAAGAGGAGGAGGAGTAGGAGGACCAATGCAAACCAAATAGTCATCAACGATGTTGGCACAAGTCCTCCCTCCAAGCTCTCTCTTAAGCATGCCATATTCTCGGGACCTCCCAGCGCCATGGATCAACCTGACTGTTGCGTCTTGACGATCCTGAAGTGTGCCATTCCTGGGATTTCAACACCGCGAATCAGCGTAACTGATTCTCCGTTCTAAAAGACTAATAGATTCTACCCCCCCCCCGGACTTATCGGTTCCCCCGCGCGTGCTGTAAATCATATATGATTCTGACCACATGTCCATCCTAAATATGAATTCATACCATCCCAGCCAAGCCGGGTTCCCCCCCCCTGCGGTTCCCTGTCAAATAACACTATGCGGGGACACTTTTCTTTCTAACATAACACTTTTTCACGAATCCCTTGCAAAAAATATGACGAAGTGCACACGCGCGCGTCGTCGCGCGCGCATGCCGAAATCCTTCAAAAACCTTCGGTGCCGGAAGGATTTCGCAATCGAGTTTCCGAAAAACATACAAAAACACATGGTTTCGCAACACTGGTTTGCTAAAACAACTTCCGCGCGAGCTCTTGCGAAATCTTAAGAAAACCATAAGTTTTTTTTTCTCCAGATTTTCACAAAATGCTGCCAAACGGGCTTCGCGCGCGCGCATGTCGAAATCTGTCGAACGCCCTTGCGCGTGTGCCGTCGCGAGAATCCCCTGCAAAAAATAAAACGAAGTGCAGACGCGCGCGTCGTCGCGGACGTATGCCGAAAACCTTCGAAACCCATCGGTTTCGGAAGGATTTCAAAATCGTGCGTCCAAAAAACCTACAAGAACCCCAGGTTTCGCAGCACGGATTTTCAACAAAAGCGTGCGCGCGCGCTCTTGCGTCGTCGTCGTCGTCGTCGCCGTCCTCCCTCCTCCCGCGTCGTCGTCGTCGTCGCCTACGTCGTCCTCTGTCTTTTCTCCTGTTTGTCGTCGTCGTCCTCTTTGGCGTCGTGGTCGTTTCCATCGTCGTTGTCGCCGTGGTCGTCCTTCCTCCTCCTCCCACGTCGTCGTCGTCGTCCGTCGTCGGCGTCTCATCGTCGTCCCTCCTATGTCGTCGCCGTCGTCGTCGTCGTTGTCGTCGTCGTCTTCCCTCCTCCCTCGTCGTTGTCGTCGTCGGCGTCGCCGTCCTTCCTCCTTCGTCGTCGTTCGCGTCGTCACCGTCCTCCCTCCTCCTTCGTCGTTGTCGTCGTTGTCGCCGTCGTCGTCCTTCCTCCTTCCTCGTCGTCGCCTTCGTTGGCGTCGTCGTCGTCGTCTTCGTCGTCGGCGTCGGCGTCGCTGTCGTCGTCGAAGTCGTCGGAGACGTCGTCGGTGTCGTCCTAGTCGTTGTCGTCGGTGTCGTCGTAGTCGGTCTTAACAGGTTTTGCAAACCAAGTTGCGGGTGGGTGGGTGGGATGTTTGCGCGAGCAGTGGAGAAGACAACTTCAAGTTCAGCAAATTATTGCACCCTCATGCTCCATACCCTCTCTCTGAAACGCCAGTTCTAAAACGTTGACCATGGGAACGTATGAAACGTGTGCAATGGTTTTTAAGCATGCGCGCGGCGCTAAGGCGAGAGCCACATTTACGTGAGAACAGCAATTTAAGAACCACCCGCCCTCAATCCGTGAAGCTCTTGCACAGTTTGAAAACGAATGTACGCGGCGACAACGCGAGAACAACAATTTGAAAAACCACCACCCGCCCTCAATCCGTGAAGCTCTTGCAAAGTTTGAAAACGAATGTGCGCAGCGCTAAGGCGAGAACCACATTTTGAAAACCACCACCCGCCCTCGATCCGCGAAGCGCTAGCAATTTGTTGAAGCGAATGTGCGCGGCGCTAAAGCGAGAACCACATGTTTTAAACGACCCGCCCTCAATCCGTGAAGCTCTTGCACAGTTTAAGAACGAATGTACGCGGCGACAAAACGAGAGCCATGGTTTGAAAACCACCCGCCCTCTAGCTGTGGAAGTATGGCATGGCTTAAAGCTCCCGGGCCATACATGGTCAGGACATCTCGGGCGAAACACCCAGCCCGCCTCAAACACTGGCCTCGGAGCGCGGAAGGAGAGGTTAGTCACAAGGAATACAATGGAAGAGGAGGAAGAAGAGGAGGACCAATGCAAACCCAAGACTCAGCAACGATGCTGAAATACACCCTCCCCACAAACTCCCTCTTCACAGGCCCATGTAAAGAATTCCCATTGAAGAAATTGCCCCCTTGGGGGACAACCGTGTGAACATCGTGAAGCGTGTCAAAATCACCATTTTTAGGACTTCGACGCCACGAGCTTACCTGACTGTTCTGTTGGCGATCCCGAGTCGTGCCAGAACTCCGTTCCTGAACCGCTCCAAAATGCAATTTCTGGTGCTTGAACCGTGCGAGCCACCGAAACTCTTGCAACTGTTTCAAGCAAATGTCCGCGGCGCCACGGCGAGAATCACATGTTGAAAACGGCCCGCCCTCAATCCGCGACACTCTTAACACTGTTTGATACGAATGTGCTCGGCGACGAAGCGAGAGCAACACAAAAAAAACAGCGCGCTCTCAATCTGCGAAGCTCTGGCATATTTTAAACGAGTGAACGCGGAGCTAAGGCGAGAGCCACATCTTGAAAAAGACCCGCCCTGAATCCGTCAAACTATTGCAATGTGTTCAAAACGAATGCGCGCGGCGCTAAGGCGAGATCCACATTTTGAAAACGACCCGCCTTCCATCCGTGAAACTCTTCGGACATTTTGAAGCGAGTGCGCGCGGCGCCACAAGCGAGAGCCACATTCCGAAAACGGCACGCCCTCCATGTGCGAAAATCGTGCAATTAGTGAAGCATCAGGGTCATCAGTGGCGAAGGAACCAGCGAAACGCCCGGCCCGGCCTTGCCTCGCGGTGCGACGAGGAGGTCTATAAGGAAATAAGGAATGGAGGAGGAGGAGAAGGAGGAGGAGGAGAAGGAGGAGGAGAGAGGAGGAGGAGGAGGAGGAGGAGGAGGAGGAGGAGGAGGAGGAGGAGGAGGAGGAGGAGGAGGAGGAGGAGGAGGAGGCGAGAGGAGCGAGGAGGAGGAGGAGCGAGGAGGAGGAGGAGGAGGAGGAGGAGGAGAGAGGAGAGAGGAGAGAGGAGCGAGGAGGAGCGAGGAGCGAGGAGGAGCGAGGAGGAGGAGGAGCAGGTCCCACACCGAATCCTCCACAGCGCCGACCCGCTCGCCCGCGTCCGCGGGCGGGGCGACGCCCTCCGGCCCGCCGAGGCTCGGCCGCCAGCGCCGCGGCTGCTCCGGCGCTCCGGGCCGCGCCGGCGGCCCTCCTGGCCAGCGGGAGCTCTCGGAGCCGGCGGCTGGCACCAAGAACGTCGTCGTCGTCGTCGTCGTCGTCGTCGTCGTCGTCGTCGTCGTCGTCGTCGTCGTCGCCGTTGGGCGGGGGCAGGGCTGGGAGCCCACGGGGCGGGGAACGGGAAGAGGGCAAGACGCGGGAGGACCAGGAGGAGGTTGGAGGAGGAGAGGCCCTCCATGAGGGCACCAAGAAAGACAAATCGCACCATTCTGGAAAAACGCATATATGCTTCACAAAAGCGATTTAGAAATTCCACAACGTTCAGAACTGCCCGGGAGGCCTTTAAAATTGCCCCAAGATGAGCCCAAGACGGCCCCCAAAGGCCCCTCAAGACGGCCCCAGAGGCTCCTAAAAGACCCCAAGATCGGCACTCCGAACTACCATATCTGTCCTGTCCTGCGAGATCCCTCACGAGACCGCCAGCAGGGCCCCAAGAAGCTTCCAGAAGCCCGAAAATACCAATCCAAGAATCCCCCGAGAGGCTCCCAAGAGGCCTCCCAAGAACCCCCACAACGTCTCCCAGAGACCCGACTTATCGACGACCCAGTTAGTTCCCTACGAAACCATCGACAGGCCTCCTCCTTCTCCTCATCGTCCGCTTATGCGACAAAATGGGCAGGCGGAGTGAGCGAAGCGACTCATAACGCAGACAGATTGGGTATAGGGCTCGGGGCGCGATTTTTCGCGATGTTGAATTTTTCTGCAACGTCTGATCTCAGGGTAGGGCCACAGAGAGCCGAAGGCGACCAACGACCTCGAGCACCTTCCTGCCCTGAACTCCGGCGCCGTGAAGAGTGCCACGGGGGGGAAGTGCCAGGACAAGAGCCATCGACCGACTCCCTTTTTTCCCGCGGCACTTGCTGCTCGAGCCCCGATCGATTGGGGGCCCCAGGGGCCCGAAGCCGGGACGAACACGTGCCCGTTTCTGGATAAGCGCTGCGACGCACGGACCTCTGGGCTGTCCTCCGCCACGCTGCCCCCCAGCGCCCCGCGGCGTGCTAGAACACGGCGGCGGCGGCGACGGAGGAGGGCAGGGAGGTCCCTGGGCGCCTCGCGGCGTGCCCACCTTGTCCTCGGGGGCCTCCGGGCCCCTGGCCGGAGCGCCATGCGGCGAGCCGACTTGTCCCTCGAGCGCGCGCTGCACGCGAGCCGCAGCGCCGCCCAGCGGGCCGCCAGCGGGCGAATCGTGCCGGCGCTGACCCTGGCGACGGCCCAACGCTGCGCGTCGTCCGCGTCGCCGTCGTCGTCGTCGCCTCACCCATCCAGCTCCAACCTCCTCCGCTCCTCAGTCCTCCTCGTCCACCCTCCACCCTCTTCCTCCTTCTCCTCCTCCTCCTCCTCCTCCTCCTCCTCCTCCTCCTCATCCACCCGCCGCCTCGTCTGCCTCTGGTTGACCTCGTGGCGGCAGCGGTCAGTACAGCCAAACTCAGCAGCAGACCAAGTCAGCGGCACGGCCTGGTGTATCTCCATCTCCTCCTCTACCTCCTGCTTACGCTGAAGGCCTCCTCCTCCTCCTCCTCCTCCTCCTCCTCCTCCTCCTCATCCTCCTCCTCCTCCTCGCATTGAGAGAAACTGGAAGGGGGTAGTGGGGGCGCGGAGGGAGCACAGGGGGGCGAAGGAAATGGGGGAGAAGGGGCGAGGATGGGAGGGGGGAGGAGGGGGCAAGGGGGGAGAGAGAGAGAGAGAGAGAGACACCGAATCGAACAGGGGTCTGTTCGGCCGCCGCGGCTATCGACGCCGCGCTCGGCTCCGCTCCCTGAATCCGGAGCAGATTCGTGCACGGCGGGAGCCCGAGGCGCTCTGGGCGGGCTACCGACGGGAGGGGGTCGCGCGACAGAAGGACGGACCATGGCAGGCGGCCCCAGGGCGGCGCAACTGTTCACCGGGCCACGGACGGCGAGAGGCCGACACCACCTGGTGGGAGACTGGGGGGGGGGGGCGTGGGAGAAATAGAAATAGAGACACAAACGAGAGGGAGAGAGAGAGAGAGAGAGAGAGAGGGAGAGGGAGAGAGAGGAAGAGAGAGAGAGAGAGAATAGACATAGAAATACAAAAGAGAGAGAGAGAGAGGGAGAGCGAGAGGGAGGGAGAGAGAGAGAGAGAGAGGGAGAGAGAAAGTCAAGTTAGCTGTTGGCCCGGTCGAGCGCGTCAGCGGGCCCTGCCCTGCCCTTTTCCACCCTCCCCCCCGCAGCTCGAGAGAGGCACTGGTGGCGCCGTGCGGTGTTGGGACTGCAGTGGGGGCCAGTTCACGAGAGACCCTCCACGAGAAACCCAACCCTGAGACCCCAGGACGTCCATCGGCTCTTGGCGTGGGCGCGTCACGCCTTCCATCGCAGAGCCGCCGAAGCCCACGAAACCCAGGCGAGCAGGGCGTCTCTTGGCGTGGGCCCCCACTGCACCGCGCGCTCCCCCTTTCTGCGGGCCGACGGCGCTCGCGCTAGGGCCCCGCTTCAGGCTGGCCGCTCCTCCTCCTCCTCCTCCTCCTCCTCCTCCTGCTCCTCCTCCTCCTCCTCATCCTGCTGCTGCTCCTCCTCCTCCTCCTCCTCCTCCTCCGCGGGGGGGGACACCACGGGCCGCGCACGGGCGGCGGAGAGAGAGTGGACTACCCACCAGCGCCACTCCGTACGCGGCGCTGGAGATCGATAGCACCCTCCGGCCTCCCATGCGGCCGCCCTGCCGGTGGCCACGGCGCAGACGAGGCATGCGCTGCGCCGCTCCGAAGCAGCACCGCTGTGGGGGAGCGCAGAAGGATACAATTTGATAGACATGAGAACTCGAAGGTCCGCGCGGGCTTCTCGGATCGGCGCTGGACCCCCTGGCGGCGCCTCCGGCGCCGCCCCTGGCGCGCTCCGCGCGCCAGGGCGGGGGGTCCCGCGCGGATCCGAGAAATCCCCGGCGGACCTCCTAGTTTTTATGTTTGTGTCGTTCTTCGCTCCCCTAAAGCATGCGCCGCGCCGCGCCGCAGCAGCATGGCCACTCCCGCGCGCGCAGGATGCGCAACGCTTGGGCGACAGAACACCATGTGCATCTGCTCTTGCGCGGCGGCCACAAGGCCGCTGCCGCTTTTTACACGCGACGGCGCCACCACCAAAAAGCAGGCGCAACGTCGTAGCGGGAACGCCATTTCCAAGCAAAATCCTCGGGGGCGCGCAAACATGGATTAGTGATCCATGGATTTGGCGCGCGGCCGCCAAATCCATTGATCGGGGGAGGTGCCCTCTCCAAAATGCTGCTGGTGCCGCCTCGTTCGGCAGCGGAAATCCACGATTTCCAATGGAAACGGAACCCGTCGCTAATCCACGCCCCCTTGATCCATGTTTGCGATCGCCTGACATCCGCACAGGGCTCGACTTAGGTCGGGCATGTCCTCCCCCTACAGGCGGATCTTGGAGGAATAATGAAAAAAAAAACAAGTCAAATCAAACCCCCAAATGGCCAACATAAATAACAAACAGGAACATCGACCCCAAATGATTTCTAAACTATTTTTGAATTTTCCTCCTGTAGAGGGACATGCCCGACTTGAGGCTTGGCCGAGCGTGACAATTCGCCTACGCTCGGCGTGGCCCCGCCCCCGAGGACCCGGCGAATCAAACATGCATGCCGCACCCCCCAAGAAAGGGGAGCACCCCCCTTTCATGCGAACTCTGCGCGGCGCCCACGCGAGAGCAGAATCTCGCACGCGCGCGAGCCTTGCTGCCGACGCCTTGGCGGCTGGCGAGGGAAAACTGTGCGCCGAGCTCGCCCCTCGCCTCAGGGACGGCGGCAGCGGCGTCTCCTCCGCCCAGGAGGCTGCCGCCCGCACTCAACTCGGAAGCCGGGCTTCCTGCCTTCGGGGCCCGGCAGCTTGCCTCGGAGTCACCTCCGATGTCTTTGCTGCCCGTGTCAGGCAGGTCCCGAATGTGTTGGAGGAGGAGGAGGGAGGAGGGAGGAGCAGGAGGAGGAGGGAGGAGGAGGGAGGAGGAGGAGGAGGAGGAGGAGGAGGAGGAGGAGGAGAAAGGAGGAGGAGGGAGGGGACGTCTCTTGAGGTGGGGGGGTCGCCGTGGCGCCCCCCCCTAGGAGGGAGGAGGAGGAGGAGGAGGAGGAGGAGGAGGAGGAGGAGGAGGAGGAGGAGGAGGAGGAGGAGGAGCAGGAGGAGGAGGAGGAGGAGGAGGAGGAACTATCACATCTGAAACGCAACTCTGCCACAGGGCCGGAGGAAGCCCCCGTGCGCATTCGTGTCGCTTGCTCCGCTGCTCCCGCCTCTCCTCTCACTCGGCGCAGGCCGTGCTGACCCGCGGCTCGCCGACAGCCGGCAGCTGGCGCTGCGTGGGGGCGGAGCTCGACCCGCAGGAGGAGGCGCAGGCCGAACCCCTTCTCACTTCCCTGCCGGGTTCCCCCCCGAAGGATACCACAGGGTAGGGTTGAGAAGCAGCTCACGTAGTTGGTTTTCCTGGCGCCTCCTGGCGGGGAATGGGCCTGGCGGCGGGGCCGAAAGCAGCTGCGTGCCGCAGATTGTGTCCCCCCCGTTTGCCCTATCATCCCCCTTTCGTTCGGCCCGAACTGTGTGGGGAGATCTTCGACGCCGAGGGGTGGCACGCCCGGAAGTGCGGGTGCGGGGACAGCGGGGGGCTACAGACACAACTCCCTGCTCGATCGGAGCGCGCCCTGGCACCGCGCCCAGGCTGGCCGCAGGGCCACGACCGAGCAGCGCGTCCCCCCTTGGGACCGCTGGCGCCCCGGCAACGGCGCGTGGCAGGAGTCCGTCCTCGACGTGGCCACTCGCGACCTGGTCACCAACGGCCTCGTCCACGTGGACGGGCCCGCCACCTGCGAACACGGCGACCCGACCGACAGCAGCGCTCGCAGGCAGGCCCGGGCTCGCGCGGCCGGGGCGGCGGATCCTCCTCTCGGGCGGTCGGCGAGCAGCGGGCGCGCCGCCCGCCTTCCAGAGGAGAGCCGATCCAGGCCGCCTCGGAGCCGATCCAGAGGAGGAGGAGGAGGAGGAGGAGCAGGAGGAGGAGGAGGAGGAGGAGCAGGAGGAGGAGGAGGAGGAGGAGGAGCAGGAGGAGGAGGAGGAGGGAGGAGGGAGGAGGAGGAGGAGGAGCAGGAGGAGGAGGAGGAGGAGGAGGAAGTCGGAGCGAGGGGGCCGGCCAGCCCACGAGCTGGGCGCCTTCGTCCGCCCTCGCGGCTCCGGAGCTGCCCGCGGCCGAGCGGCCGGGCCCGATCCCCACCACCTGGGGGAAGGCCCAGCGCTGCGTGGCATTCGGCAGCGCGGCGGTGGCTGCGCCGTGCGGGCTGGACAGCTGAGCGGCCCCAAGGCAGCCCGCGCGACGACGACCACCGCCGCCGCGACCCCTCCCAACTTTTTGCTTTCTCCCCCTTCCGACGGCAAACCAAGCAGCCCCATGCCGCAGTAGCTCACGTGGCAAAGCGTCCGGGGCGACCCGAGCAGTGCACGAACAACTCCAGAGGTGGTGGCCAGGCAACCACCGCGTCCGTGGAACCACCAAGAGACCCAAAGTAAGTGAAACGAGTCCTGTGTAAAGCGTACCAGCCTGATCAGCGCATGGCCTGAGCGCCGCGACCACTCCCAGCTACGACACGACCACCATAACCACCAAGACGACGACCACTAACAAATGGCCACCGCCACGACCACTGCGGCCAAGACCGGGCAGCCCCTGCCGCAGCGCGCGCCTCGCGTCTCGCCCTCTCCCTCCTCCTCCTCCTCCTCCTCCTCCTCATCCTCCTCCTCCTCCTCCTCCTCCCTCGTCCTCTCCTCCTCCCTCCTCCCTCCTCCTCTCTTCCCTCCTCCTCCTCCCACATCCTCCCCCCTCCTCTTCCTCCTCCTCCCCTCCCTCCCTCCCTCCCTCCTCCTCCCTCCTCCTCCTCCTCCTCCTTCCTCTCCCTCCTCCTCCCTCCCTCCTCCCTCCCCCTCCCTCCTCCTCCCTCCTCCTCCTCCTCCCTCCTCCCTCCTCCTCCCTCCTCCTCTCTCCTCCTCCCTCCTCCTCCCTCCCTCCTTCCCCCCTGCTGCACTCTCTGGGGGCGTGCCCTGTCGCCGGTGGCCGGGCGGACTGCCGCGTTCCACAACTGGGGCACCGGGAGGTGTGCGCCGGGTGGGCACTCCGCCCCCGTGGCGCGTGGTGCGCGGTCGGCCGACGCGAAAGGCGCCCAAGGACACACAAAGAAGTACACACACACATCCCAGGGTTCCCCACATTTTCTCGTAGTTTCTGGGTTTTCGTTTCCCCCCCCCGTTTCCCACAGTTTCGCTTGTTTTCCCGGGGGAACGACGATGGATGGTATCTGCGGTGTTTCTCCTCCTGGGCAGCTGAACCTGGTGGTTTCTGGTCCGAACGTTGGCCTGGTGCCGGAGTCGCGGGTTCAAGACAGAGAGAGAAGAGAGAACATTGACGGAAGACGTAGTGAGGGAGATGGAAAGAACAAGGGACAGTAATGAGGGAGGGGTAGACGAGTGGGAGGGCGTAAGAGAGAGGGGGGAAGACAGACAGAGAGAGAGAGAGAAAGGAACAACAAGACCCCAGTGAGGGGTCTATTGTCTTCCACAGCAGTTCAAAAAGCTCTGGGGAAGGCAGAGCAACGCAAAGCATTCCATGGAATTGCTTGGAGTTAATTGCGTGGCATTGCTTGGCGTGGCATTGCTTGGGACTGCTTGACGTTGCTTGGCGTTGCCTGGCGCTGCTTGACACTGCCTTGCATTGCTTTGCGTTGCTTGGAATGGCTTGGCATTGCTGCGCATTGCTGTGCAATGCTTTGCATTGCTCGGCATTGACTGGCGCTGTTTCGCGATATCTCGCACTGCTCGGCAATGAATTGCATGGTGTTGCATTGATTGGTGTTGCATTACTCGGCATTGCCTAGCGTCGCTTTGCATTTCTTGACATTGCTTGGTGTTGCTTTTTCATTGCTCGGCATTATATACTTGGCATTGCTTGGCATTGGATGGCAGTTCACGGGAAAAGCTGGGCAACCCCCGGCGACCCTGAGGAGAATCACGGGCTACCTCTGACGAAGGGCACCGCACCCACCGGTTCGACTCGTACTGATGTGAAAAACCCTTAGGCACGGCCCCATGTGGGAAGAAACAGAGTGAACATGCCGAGACCCCTATTAGGGGTCTCCCTTCTTCCAGAACGGTTCAAAGCAGATCTGAGAAATGCAGAATAATGCACCGTATAGCCTGGAAGTGCTTGGCATGCTTGGTACTGCTTGGCATTGCATGGCGTTACTTTGCGATGCTTGGCATTGCTTGGCATTGCGCTGCGCCGCTTGGCGTTGCTCTGCACTGTGATGCATTGATTGGTGATACTTGGCGCTGCCTTTATTTTGCCTGGCGATGCTCAGAATCGTGACATGGGATTGCTTGACATTGCTTGCGCTGCGTGGCATTGCTTTGACTCGTTGCTCTGCCTGGCTGGGCATTGCTTGGCGTTGCTCGAAACCTGCTTGGCAGTGCTTGGCATTCTTGTTTGGCACTGCTGTGCGCTGCTTTGGGTGGCGTCGCGTAGCGTTGCTTGGCATGGGCTTGGAACCGCTGCTTGGCATTGCTCGGCATTTCTGAGCATTGCCTGACAGAGGCTCGAATCAGTGTGGAGCGTTGCTTGGCATTGCCTGGAACCTCTGCATGGCATCACTTGGCGCTGCAGGGCATTGCTTGGAAATGCTCGGCGTTGCTGGGCGTTTGCTTGGCATCGATTGGTGTTGATCGGCATTGCTGGGCGCTTCTCTGCATTGCTTGACATTGGTCGGCATTGCCTGACATTGCACGGGCAGCCCCCGGCACCCCTCCAGGGCAACCCCTGGCAACTGTTAGAAAAGCCGAGGAACGCCGAGGGGCGCCTCTGACGAGGGCCCCCCCGGCCCCCCCCCCGCACACACACACAGACACTCACACACATGAACGCACACACATGACCTTCTTTCACAAGCACAAGGAAAACATTTCGGCAAAACCCAGTCTTCGGAAACGATCTCCAAGAGAGGTAGAGAGAGAGAGGCATGGGGAGGAGGAGTGCGAGACAGAGAGCGAGAACACAACAAACAGACAGGCAGATGGAGACAGGGAGGGAAAAAGAGAGAGCGAGAGAGAGAGAGAGGAAAAAAAGAGAGAGAGAGAGAGAGAGAAAGAAAGAAAGAAAGTGACGTGGCATTCATAAACAGCAAAAGCAGCTGTGGCAGAGCAGGACGTCGCCGATACCGATGTCTTGAACAAGGGGGGGCGAGTATGCTCCTGCGCGCTCTGGAATGCGGTTTGGCTGGGCAGCGCCTGCCTTGCTATCACTGCTTTGCTCCTGTTGCGTCCGATAGGTGTCAGCGTTAGGTCGGGCATGCCCCCCTACAGGCGGACTTTGAACGAAAAATGAAAAATAGTCAAGAAGTGCTCCAAAATTGTCAAACATCGTCAACAAATCGTCCCCTGATTATTTTTCAAATATTTTTGAATGTTCCTCCTGTAGAGGGACAGGCCCGACTTAATGCTAGTGCTAGTGCGTCTTTTGTGTTGCCCGTCCGGGTGGAGGATGCAGACATGCAAGCGTGGCCCGAACATGCACAAGAGGCGGAGGAGGGACAGAGAAGCTCCTCAAGCGCCCGCAGCTGAGCTGCGAGATCGCTCAGGGCACCCCTGGCGGCTGCCAGCTGCTCGGCCAGGTTGCCCAGCACCTGAAACGGCGCACGTCAACTACGAGGTGGATCGTGACCGCGTGGTGTCCAGAGAAGCAGAACACTTCGCGACGTTATGCAACTGAGCAGACTGGCACCCAGCCCATAAGAAAGGCTGGGACCGAGAGGAGCTTCACAATTCATACATCCACTCACCCATGACGCATGATATCTTGACTTGCCTCACATCTGATTTGCACATGGACGACACATTGCTTACTAGACTCAAGAAGTAAAAGGATCCGTAGTTGAGCGGCACTAGCCTGAAAAGTGTTTTTCTATGTGCACAGCTGCTTCCCGTCTCTCACATCCCCCACGCCTCCCTCCTCCCCTCCCCGCTCCCCTCCTCCCTCCTCCCCCAGATCTCCTCCCCTGTCCTCTCCCTCTTAACGGATACGATGCCCGACAACACATGCTGTCCACAACCGACAGCGGCCGCTGGTGGTAGGCGGCCTTCCGTCTCAAATGGACCACGTCCGCGGCGACACCCGCAATGAGCCCTGCTCAAGATGGGCAAAATACGCTGCCGGTCTTTCTGCTAACTCTTCCCGCGCCCTTGTCGATCGTCCCGGCAAGGTTCGGTCGGGCATGTCCTCCTACAGGCGGATTTTGGGCGAAAAACATGACATAGTCAGACCCCCCCAAAAAAAAACAATCGGAAAATCGTCCCCGTACCTGTTGACCATTTCTGAATATTCCTCCTGTAGAAGGCCGTGCCCGACTTGACGACAAAAGGGGGGCTCTCTCTCCTGGGCCACCCGCCCGGCCAGGACCGCCCTCCGTCTCGCCGTGCCCCCCCACCCGCCTCCTCCGCTTCCCTCGACGACGGGGCACCTCCCTGGCCTTTCATCCCCCCTTTCCCCCCGCCCTCCTCCCCTCGACGAAGGGGCTCCTTCCCCGCTCCCCTCCTTCCCTCCTTCCCCGGCTCCCCTCAACGAAGGGGCCCCTTCCCCGGCTCCCCCCGCTCCCCTCTCCTTCCTCAAAGTGTGTCCTGGGTTTGGGGGCCCCCTCTGCGGAGAAGCCGCCCGCCCAGCCGGGCCGCCCCACACCTCGACGTCGACGACAGGGGGCGCCTCCCTGCTCATGCCCGCCTCCCGCGCGTGGCTCTCCTTCGGGGGCATCGGGCGGGCGGCGGGGGGGGGGGGGGGGGGGGGGGGGGGGGGGGGGGGGGGGGCGCGGCGGGGGGTGGGAGGGGCGGGCGCCGGCGGCAGGGGCGACGGCAGCAGCGGCAGCGGCAGCTGCGGCGGCGGAGGACATGGAGCGGGCACGGCGGCGGAGGCGGAGGGAGCGCGAGGCGCGCGCGCGCCCGTGCTCACTTGGGCAGGGCGCGCGAGGTCGTGGACTCTCCAACACTGCAAAAATCCGACTCGCTAGAGGGCCCTCAGAACGCGTGCAACTGTTAGTGCCAACGTGTGCCTGCCAGCCGAGGCCCCTCCACGCGACGCAGGCGGCGTGACGAGGGCCGACGCAGGCTGCGCCCGATCGGCGAAGTCGGGCGCAGGAAGGTACGCATTGGGCGAACGCACGTCCTGAGCAACATCGGCTCACGCGAGTATAGCCGAGGCTGCAAAACGCGGAGCTGAAGGCGGTACGCTGAGGTGCTGACGGTGGCTGGAGTTCTGCGGCCGGGTGCTGGCCCGCCAGCGGGGGCGGGGGAGGGGGAACCAGCGGGAGCAGGCGCGGGCGTTCCCCCCGCGCGCCCGCAGGGCACGCCCGAGGCACCCGAGGCACTGCGGGGGCACCTGGAAACTCAGCGCGCAGCGGCGGAGGAGGAGGAGGAGGAGGAGGAGGAGGAGGAGGAGGAGGAGGAGGAGGAGGAGGGGGAGGAGGAGGAGGAGGAGGAGGAGGAGGAGGAGAAGGAGGAGGAGGAGGAGGAGGAGGAGGAGGAGGAGGAGGACGAGGAGGAGGAGGAGGAGGAGGAGGAGGAGGAGGAGGGAGAGGAGGAGGACTGTGGTGTACAACTGATGCTCTTAAGGGTTGTCGGACGGGGCACTTGGAATCTCCCATCCTTGATCGTAGGTGCTGGTGGAAATGGGGACGCCCCGCCTTTTCACTGATCATGGTGCACGTACTGTACCGTGTTAAACATCCTGGATTGATGGTAGGGATGTGCATTCCGCAGACCTAGTGACAGCCACCTCTGTTCACCTCGGTCTGATAATACCATCAACATTTGGCAAGCACGCATAGAGGTTGCGCAGGACCGCCAGCATTGCCGCCAGGCTGCGTCCGGAACAGGAACAGAGTGTTGCGGAGAAGTGGGGGGAGGAGGAAGATCAGGCCACCGGTCTCGCAAATTTAGGCCGCCTAGATCCCAAGTGTCGGACGCCGTTATCCCATGCTTGGCCACCAACCTTTCGGCGCGAAGTTTAGTGCGCCAGCCTCCCAAGCTGAGACCTGCACCACGAAAGGGGGGAGAAAAGGGGATCGTGGAGGATGAGTCGCCGATATTATAAGATTCCGCCGCCACTCTCACAAGGCCAATTTGGCAGGTCATCTTAACATTGGCCCTGCGGTTGTTAGACCCGATGATGGCTACACCTGTCACGTATGGGAGGGACGTTCTTCGGAGAGAAGGTGCAGGAGACAGACGCATGCTGAAGTTCTCAGGTCGCCAATCTCTCAAATTTAGGCAGCTAGTATCCCAAACTTATAGCGCCAACAATTGAGACCGCAACTCAATTCACCAGCCTCACAGGTGAAGGCCAGCGCCCAGAAGAGCTCAAGGAGCTGAAGCGCGCAGAAGTCATGCCGCGGTAAACACGTCAAGCCCCGCTCGACGTATGGACTCTGGCACTGGGTAGGGGCTTGACGCCTAACGACTCGCTGCCCTGCCGACGGGACCCCCGCAAGCACATTGTTCACCGGACTCCGCGGGGGGCTGCACTGGCCTTGTTCACATGCCAACGGCTGTGAGCCGTTTGCTCATGCACATGAGCGGCAAGGCCAATATGGGGTGCCAGCCGACGGGCACGCGCAAACGGAATCTCCCAGGGGCCCTGCCTCGCCTGAAGGAACGCCGCACGGGAGTAGACCCGAAGGTCCCATGGGTCTCACGAACCACATGGCTCCGCCACTCCGCGGAAATGCGCGATCCTTTCATGCAGCTGATGCCCCTGCAGTGGGCCATGGTTCGGACCCACTGCACGCGGATGCAGGGGAGCCAAGCTCATCCCTGTCCGCCAGAAATGACGACCGCCTTCCTGCGCAAGGCCCATACTCGCAAACTCCTGGCAGTGTGCCCCGCGGCGAGTGCAGCACTGGCCGGCATGAAACCATGTGCCAGGCCCACGCCAGGGGCCCAGCGCCCAAAGGAGGAGGAGGAGGAGGAGGAGGAGGAGGAGGAGGAGGAGGAGCGCCGGAATGAACCATCAACGATGCAAATAATCCATGCCTGCGACCTCTGGGGTACGGCGCACGAGTCCACCGATCCTGACATACTCGACACGGAGCGGCCCAGAATCCGCCACGCATGCTTTCCAATCGAGCCATGGTCATCAACAAAACCCTGGAGCTACTCTGGCAACGGACTGGGGGAATGATATGTGCGCCTCCTCGCATCGACTTATGTTCATACGCCCTCTCCTTCTGAGTTGTACAGCTGCCAAATATCACGTCCGATACACTCCATCGTGAATGCCCACAACATGGGGAGCGTCGGAATCACGACAATACTGTAACCACAATTCTTGACCATCTTCGGCTGACAAGGTATGAATACCTTCTGCCTTGATCGAAACCAAGTGAAATCCTTGAAGTCAGAACTAGGCTTCAAAAGCGCGTTATCAATGCCGTTGACAGAATACACGGCGCACGAGTTGAGCACGACTTCTGCGGACACTTGTGATGTACACAAACATAGTGACCCCAGCACCGCTGTGACTGAGGGGACGATGACAGCATCTATCATGAATGTTGGCGCGGTGGAAACACAACGTTCTTCCAAGGGGAACTAGACAGGACCGACAAGCCCAATGGAATATCTGCAAAGACGTTCGTGACATGCACATATAAATATATCAAGTGATCATAAGAATGCTCGGCTTGACGGGCCCTTCTCAGTCCCAAGGGCTCGGCCATTCCGCTCTGACGATGTACTTCGCCATGACATGGAAGACCACGAACTGCATCAAGAACGCCTGCAGCGCAACCGATACAACGGTGCACTTCTTGTAAAGACTTTGGCTGTGCGATAAGAGAATGAGGCCACTCACGCCTATGAGATCTACCAACTCATCTTCTTCGATGGAGAAATGGCTGCTCACGTGCTCGTGCTCCGGCTCAGGCTCGTCCGGCCCCAGAACCTCGATGTAGGCATGTCGCGAGACGGCTCGTCGTCCGACGACGCCCCCGAGCCACCGGTGGGATCGCGGTCGAGCTCGGGCTCCGTCCAGGCTGCGCTTCGCCTGCTTCGCCTACGGTCCGCGAGGGGCGTGATATGCTCGTCGGCGGAACTGACATCTGAGTTGTCGGGAGCATCCTGTAATTTGAGCAATTCCTTGGCGTCCAGAACAAGGCTGTGCCAGCGCCGATGGTGAACGGTATTGCGACGCACGAACATGTAGAAAAAGGCCTCCGATAGTCGCAGCGCCAGTCCACAGGCCACAGGGGGATAAATCGCATCGACGTCGCTGCTGACAACTGGTGTGTAACCCGCGCGCGTGCAATGACGTAGAGCCAAAATGGCTACGAAAGGAGCAGGGGGAAATGGACGAGATGCTGTTAGCGGAAGGTCAAACCACCAATCTCCCAAGTGAAGCCGCCAATCTCCCCATGCTTGGGCCGCCTACCCGTGAGCGCGAAGGTTAGTCGCCGACCGCCCAAGTTTAGGCCCGCGCCAAAGAGGGGGAGAAGGAGGAGGTTGGAGCGTCTGGGTGGGCAGGGAGGAGGAGGAGGCGGAGGAGGAGGAGGAGGAGAAGGAGGAGGAGAAGGACGAGAACGAGGAGGGGGCGCGTCCTCAGGGACAAGGAGGAGGAGGAGGAGGAGGAGGAGGAGGAGGAGGAGGACGAGGAGGAGGAGGACGAGGAGGAGGCGGAGGCGGGGGAGGAGGAGGAGATTGAGAGGAGACGCTATGGAGGGATCGTGGAGGGTGAGAAAGCAGTCCTCCAATCGAAGACCGAGAATCTCGCAAAGCTAAGTTGGCGGGGCATCCCACCGTTTGCCCGCTCGCGTCCAGGAGCTCCTTGGCAGCCTTGGGGCATCGTAGCGCGGAGGCACTGCACTGCGCCACCCCTGGCGCCAGCACTGTCACCATAGCCCTGGGTCATGCAACCATCGACCTACCATCAGGAACGTGGACTAAGGAACGATAGGCCTCTTCCTCCTCCTCCTCCTCCTCCTCCTCCTCCTCCTCCTCCTCCTCCTCCCCCTCTCCTCCTCCCCTCTCTCCCTCCCTCGCTCCGTGCTCCGCTCCTCCTCCTCCTCCTCCTCCTCCTCCTCCTCCTCCTCCTCCTCCTCCTACTCCTACTCCTCCTCCTCCTTGGCCCTGCGCTAAAGTGGGCCAGAAGACATTACCGCCAAGGGTCCCGCAAGCGACCCCTACCGCAAAGCCCTCGTAGCGAGCCAGCAGCCCAGGCATCGAGGAGCGAATGCAGACAGCTGCCAAGGCATCCGGCTCCGACTCCGACTCTTCCTCCTCCTCCTCCTCTTCCTCCTCCTCCTCCTCCTCCTCCGCTTCCTCCTCCTCCTCCTCCTCCTCCTCCTCTTCCTCCTCCTCCTCCGATCGGGCGCACGCTTGTCTGGCCCCTGCGAGTCTCGGCCACGGCGAGCCCTGGCCACGCCTCTGGAGAGGGTGGCTTTCACGATCGCAGGAGCGACCGACAAGAAGGAGGAGAAAAGGCAGGAGGACGAAAGGAAGGAGGAGGAGGAGGAGGAGGAGGAAGAGGAGGCGGAGGAGGAGAAGGAGGACGAGGAGGAAGGGGAGGGCGAGGATGACGAGGAGGATGAGGAGGAGGAGGAGGAGGAGGAGGAGGAGGATTAGCTCTTCGCTGGAAGCAGCAGCCAGCGAAACTGCAGCGCCGAGGGCACAAGGGTCAGTAGACAAGAAAAGAAGGACCTCACATAGGGACAATCACGTCAAGCTGTGTACCCCACTCCTGTGACTCCCATGCGGGGAGGCAACATCCTCCAAACTCTCATGATGGCAGCGCGCTGGGCTTCCGTGATAGAGAAACGGCCATGCCGACAGCACTCGCACTCCTGAGAGAGGAGCTAGGGGGGGCCCCTCAGCATACCGTCCACAAGTCCAACAGAACACAAAACGAAGCAGGAAAGCTATGCAGTGCATGGCCCCTCCACCCCTGGCCCTCGAAACGCACAGGGGGGTCATACCAACCTTTGATGCGGCAATGCTGCTCGCCAAAGTGCGGAAAAGGGCTCAAAACCACTAGAAATGCGAATCGCCACACGAGCGGGGGCTAAGGACAGAGATGCTGGGGAACCCCGAGCAGCACACCTCGAGCGAACACAAGCGAGGACACTCTGCTGGGTCCTGTGAGCGATCTTGCCACACAGAGTGCAACTCCAGCCCCTCGTAAACTCACGCCCGACATGGTTGGAGCTGTCCTTCGCCGTCGGAACCACCGCCGCACCTCTGTGGGCCCCCGAAAAAGCAGGGCCGTTTTTTCACCGTTTCCAAACAAATTTCCCTTGAAAATGGAAACGGCAAAAAAACGGCGACCGGAAACGGCAAAAAAACGGCTCCAGGATTGGAACCGGAGCCGGAACCGGTCAGACAACGGCGACGGAACCGGTAACAAAACAGAGCGTCGGAACCGGCAAGGAAAACGGCAAGACGGAGCCCGCAACAGAAACGGCCCCGTCGTTTCCAGGGCCCGCTGTGCGCCGCACGCCCCCGGATCCTCGGGGCACGCACGGGTTCCACCGTGCGGTCGGGGCCTCCGGGCACGGCGGCAGCCGCAACAGCGAGGGAGGCGTGGCGCAGCAGGGTGGCGGCGGGGCCTCCTTCCGGGGCGGCGTGGCTTCGATCCTGCGACTGAGGTCGGGCGTCCGAGCGCGCGGGGCCCTCGCGTCGGCGGGGGTGGTCCGCCACCGAGCTGGCGCGGCTCCCCTCTGCCTGGACCGCGGCACCAACAGGGCGATACAGAAGGGGCGTTGACCTAAGGAGCCCTACATAGGGAACGAGGCCTCTTTCTCCCATAAGTTGAGCTTCGACTTTTCCCATCGAAGCCCTTTTGAGCAAAACCAAAGGCGAACTGCCAAACAACTAAGGAACACCGAGCCCGTCTCCAACGAAAATGGTTCCTTCCTCAGTGCCCCGACTGTACGGCTTAAATTCGTCCTCGGCAAGGTGGGAGGGGACATGGACGAGGGGCGGCAGAGCGGGACGGGCCTCGGCTAGCCCCCCAAACTCCGCACCAGAGATCGGCACTCTCCGACTTCACACAGTGGTGGCGGCCCCGCACAGCAGGCCCGGACGTGGTTGACACGGTCCGACACATTCGTGAAACCCTCATCCTGGCGGACAGCCCTGAGCAGTTCAATCAAGCCCCGAAGCTGAGCCCTCGGCAAAATCTGCTTAGTGCTGTCCACCAGGCCACTGCAACCTGAATCCGGGGCTCACGAAAGCTGGGCGAATGACACCCCAGGCTACATGACAGAGCGTCGGCTGATTGTGATGACGGCCCCCGAGCCCGTCCGCGGCAGAAACTCCCCCAGGAAGGGGCCAAGCCTGGACGCGGAGCCACTCCAACTGGCGGGACTCGGGGGGGAGAGGGTAGCTCAAGCCACGAGAGGGGGATGAGCCCGCGAAGCCAAAAGATCGGGACCTGCCCAACTTCAACCAGAGCCTGCTGGGTAAGGTTATGAATTCCAACCGCCAAATCCGAAGGTGCCTCCACCCCATATCCTCGCAGCCCACTCCTGAAAAACATCTGTTGCGGGGACATTCTTCCCCACAGCGACGCGCACGGGTCTCAGGCGGATGCTTACACCGACGACGACGACGACGATGACGAGGAGGCACAGCTCTAACTAGGGGAACGAAAAATGACATAACCATGAAAACTCTGAGGTCCGCGCCGATTTCTCGGATCGGCGCTGGACCCCCCTCCCTGGCGCGCGGAGCGCGCCAGGGGCGGCGCCGGGGGCGCCGCGAGGGGGGTCCAGCGCGGATCCGAGAAATCCGCGCGGATCTCCGAGTTTGTATGCTTATGTCATTGTTCGTTCCCCTACTCCAGATTTCGTAATAAAAGGGAGGGGGTCTGGACCCTCCAAGACAAGCCATTTCAGACCTCCCCCGTGGGAGAACCCTCCAAAACATTGACCCCAGACCCCCCAGGCCCTCCAAGATAGCCTGGAAGAGACCCCCCCCCAAAATGAGACCCCCCTTTATTACGAAATCTGGAGTGCTAACTCCCATGACCTTCCTCCCCCCCGTCGCGCGTGCGCTCCCTCCCCTCCCACCCTGCCCCCCGCCCCACCCCGCAGCGCGCGGCCCTCTCGGGGCCGCCCCTCGCCCCCCCCTCCCCTCCCTGCCAGCTCCCCTCCCGCTTCCCCCCCTCCCCCCCCCGCCCCCTTCCCACTCCCACCAGGAGGAAGGAGGAGGAGGAGGAGGAGGAGGAGGAGGAGGAGGAGGAGGAGGAGGAGGAGGAGGAGCCCTCCCTGCGCTCCGCGCTCCCCGCGCGCCGCAGTCCTCGAGGGCACCCAGGCGGCAGGCCAGGCTGCCGGCCAGGCTGCCGGGCGCCGCCCGGCACCCTTCGCCCGGGAGCCGGCGCTGCTCCTGGCAGGGTTTGGGGGGGGGGCAGCTGCTGCCGAGTCTTCCCCTCGACCTGGCCGCCGTTAGGTGGCAATCATGGGAGCCTATGTTGGCACTTGCGGTCTTCGCCTCGTGCTACCCAAGTCTTCCCCTCGATCTCCCGCCGTTAGGTGGCAATAATGGGAGCCGAAATTAGCACTTGCGGTCTTCGCTTCGTGCTACCCCCCAGTGCTGTCCATTGCGATTCATTGCGATTCAGTGTTGCTCAAGCCGACGTGCGGTCCACGCACTGGCGGCTCATGTTGCGGCAACGCGCGAGTTTCGAGGCGCGCCCGCCGCTGGCCCGCATCGTCGTTGGCCCACGTACGGCACCCAAACGATCCTCTCTGAGGGGCGCGTTTGGTGATTATCAGAATCCTCCGACCACCAACTGCGGCCAACATTTTGCCTCCTCGCTTCCCGACGACCCCCAAACAAGTCCTCATCCAACTCCTCCTTTTCCTCCTCCTCCTCCTCCTCCTCCTCTCCCCCCTCCTCCGCGCCCTTTACTCCTCCTGCCCTCCCCCGTCCTCCGCCACCTCCATCTCCTCCTCCTCCTCCTCCTCCTCCTCCTCCTCCTCCTCCTCCTCCCCCATTCTTTTCCTCCCCCTCCTCCCCTTCCTTTTCCTCTTTCTCTTCCTCTTCCTCCTCCCCTCCTTCTCCTCCTCTTCCTCCTTCTTCTCCTCCTCCATTCCCTTTTCCTTCTACATAACTCCTCGCCGTCGCCCCCCAAGGCCGGTCGGTGGGGAAGGCCAGGCATTTCGCTTGAGACATCCCCACCATTATGATCCTGAAAATTCCGACTTTGCAAGAGCTGGACGATTGGAGGGCGGATCGCTTTTGCATGATGTGCCTCTCGCCTTAGCGCCGCGCACATTCGTCTCAAACGTTCGCAAAAGCTTCACGGATTGAGGGCGGGTGACGTGCAAAATGATGCTCTCACGCGTTTCTTCCGCGCACACTGTTTTTGAACATTTGGAACAAGATCGCACATCGAAAGCGGACCACTTGCAACATGCACTTTTCGCTTGAACGCCGCGCACAACCGTCTGCAACAACTGAAAGAGCTCTGCTGGCGCTGGGCGGGTGGCTTTCAAAATGTAGCCTTCGCCCTAGCGCCGCGCACAATCGTCTTAAACATCAGCAAGTGCTTCACGGATGGAGCGCGGTCCAATTCAATATGCGGTCCTCGCCATAGGACCTCGCACGTCCTCTTCCAAACATCAGCAGAACTTTTACGGATTCCCGGGTCAGCGCACCAGAAATAGTCTTTCGCAGCGATGTAAGAAGGGCGCAGCAATTACGCTGATTCGCGGTGTTGGAATCCCAGGAATAGTGTTCTGGCACGCATCAGGACCGTCAAGACGAAACATAAAAAGGTTGATTGGTTCTCTCGCGCGGTCCAGGACTCTCAAGCGGTTCTCTCCCAACGGGGCATTTCCCTCTTATGAAAATGCACCCTAGCAGCGGCCTGCGCGGCGGGAACCTGGAGGGAGGGTTGATGCAACATCGTTGATGGGTCTTGGGATTACACGTGGTCCTCCTCCTGCTCCTGCTCCTCCTGCTCCCCTTCTTCCTCCTCTTCCCTCTCCTCCTCCTCGTCGCCATCCTCCACCTCCTCCTCCTCCTCCTCCTCCTCCTCCTCCTCCTTCCCCTTCCCTTCTGCCCCCTGCCCCCGTCGCCGCCCCCGCCTCCGCGCCCCCCCCCTGCCCTCCTCGAGGCCCCATCCAATCATGATATCAGCAGCGTTCGTCCAAATACCTGGCGCGCCACCCCCCATGCCCCGCGCAAGCTCTCGCGAGCGCGCGCGCGCGCGCGCCCCCGCCCGCCCGCCCGCCGACCCGCGCGCGTCCCCCCCCCGAACCACCGCCACCACCACCTCTACCGCCGCCAGTGCATCCGCCCCACATGCCCAACTGACCCCACCCATCTCGCCCCACCCCACCCCATCCACCCACCCGCCCGCCCGCCCACCCGCCCGCCCCGCCGTCGCCGCCGCCGCCGCCGCTGGGCCCTGCTCTGCCCCCGCCACGCCGCCACCGCTTTGCCGAAGGGCGGCGGGGGGCGGCGGCCACGATGCGCCATCGACCCCGAAACGTTTCCCTCGAGAGCGCCGCGCGAAACCCCCGCGGCTGGCCCCTCCCGCCGAGACGCCGCGCGGCAGCCGACGCCCCCGCGAGGCCGCGCCGACGCGGCGGGGCCCGGGGCCCAACGCGCGGGATCGATGGCAATTTGACCATCTGGCCGCAGACGCCCGCGAGAATCACAGCTTTCCTGCCCTGGCCCCGCAACGCCCCGCAACGTCGAGGCCCGCAGAGCGCGCGACAGCGCCGCGAAGCGACGCCTGCAGGAGCAGCGGCGGCAACGCGCGGTGTGGGCCAGGCCAGCGACCGGCCCGTGGCTTCGGCGCTGCCGCGCGCCGCCGCTGCGCCATGGCCCCTCTGCGCGCGACTGCCCCTCGGCGCTGCCACGGCGAGCGCAGGAATCCCGCGCTGCCCCTCTGTATATACATACACATATATATATATATATATATATATATATATATATATTTAAATACATGTATACATATATACATATATAGAAAGAGATATATACATATATATATATATATATGTATATATATATATATGTATATATGGGTTGTCAACGCGAGGCGCGGCCGCGCCCTCGCCCCCGTCTGTCCCTGAACGGCTCCGCGCGGCCACCGCCGACGGCGACGCGGGTGCAGGCCATCTCCGCGACGCGCGCGGGAAGGTCGCGCCGGCCTCTCGCGCCCCCGCCGCAGGCCACGGCCGAGCCACCGCTCTCGAGCGAACCTGCGCCAGCGAGTGCCCGCCTTCGGACTCGGGCGGCGGGGGGGGGGGCGTCGGTGCGGCGGGGCCCTCGGCAAAATCTGGCTGCATGTGCTGTGCCGCGGGCTCTGTCGGTGCTTGTGTCCTTCCTGGCTTCGTTCGGCATGTGCTCGTCCGCCCAGCCCATGCCTTAGCAGCCCCGATACGCAACGCGCAACGCGCAGCTTAGTGATAGGGAACTTATCACGTAGACTAAACACGTAGGTCTGGCGCGATACGTTCGCCAAAACGCGGGCCAATACGTTAAGCCCACACTGAACGTCTTGACACGGACGTTTTGAGCACGGTACGTGTTGCGTTTCAAAAACGCCCCTCGACCAGCCCCAGCGTCAGGACGCAAGCAAGTCGCATGGTTGCCTCGCTGAGGACCTCCGCGGCTTGAACAGGTGTGTCCAGATACGCCCAACTCGGGGGGGGGGTCCGTACTGTACGCTCATGCCCGCCACTGCTACATACGGCAGACAAGTCTATTGAAATTGCAGGCGTCGCATGGGCTCCACGGCGTGCCAATGCGGCTCAGCACCAGTCGTCTCAAGTCAGGGTGTGAAGCATGTTCTGTGGTTGGCCCGCCCTGGCGCTTACCACCGTGGACCTCAAGCTCTAAACCCACACGGTGGCCATCATCAGACCCATTGACGTCATCATTCGCATAATGGTCGCCATCGGCATCACAATCGCCATTGTGATCGTCATCGTCAGTACCACCATCATCATCATCATCATCCGTACCAGCATCATCATCATCATCATCATCATCATCATCATCATCAGTATTCGTCTAATTCGTATTAGTTTGGTTGTAGTTGCTCTGGTCAGCAACATACTCGTTATTTTCATCCTTACCACCATCAACAGCACTATCGCCATCAATATCATCATCATCATCATCATCATCATCATCATCATCATCATCATCATCATCATCACGACCATGATCATGATTATGGCCATAATCACCATCAGCATGATCACCATACTCATACCACCATCACCACCATCACCATCATCATCCGCAGCACAATCATCATCATCGTAGCGATCATCATGAACACCAGCGCCATCAACATCGTAAGCCATCATCGTCCTCATCATTGTCATCGTCGTGATCGCAACCATCACGGCAATCATGGCCACCGACACCATCATCATCATCAACATCATCGTCATCAACAGCATCACCATCACCACCATCTCGGCTATCACCATCATCACCACCATCACCGCCACCATCACAATCACCATCACTATCACCACCACTTTAACCGCCACCATCATCATTACGTTTAATACCATCGTCATTATCATACCAAGCATATATATAATCACCACCATCGCCTATTGCCATGGTGGACCATGCTCATATCATCGTCGCCGTCGCCGTCGCCGTCGCCACCGCCGCCGCCGTCGCCGTCGCCGTCGCCGTCGCCGTCGCCGTCGTCGCCGTCGTCGCCGTCGTCGCCGTCGTCGTCGTCGTCGTCGTCGTCGTCGTCGTCGTCGTCGTCGTCGTCGTCGACGTCGTCGTCGTCCAGCGTGCCTCGGCGGCGACCGTGCTGTGGCCAGACACGGCCTGCTGCAACGGGAGCGCGCCGCGGGCCGGCGAGCCCGCGGCGGCGGGGCCCGGGCGGCGGGGCGTGACGGCGCCGCGCTGCCTGGCGGGCCCGCGGCGACGGGGCCCAGGGACGGGGCAAAGGGGCAGGCAGGCGGGAGCGCGGGCCGGGGCGCGGCGGGGGCATGCCGGCGGTGACGGGGCCCAGGGAGGGGGGGGGAGCAGGGGGGAGAGAGGGCGAGCTGGGCGCGCCCGCGCCCTGTCTGACACCCTACCCCTCCCGCCCATCCATTCCGAGGTCGCTGATTGTGTCTGCTGCCCGCCAACGGGTGTCATAGTGGGTGCCGGCCCCTTAAAAACGACCCCCATCGTGTTATGCGCAATCGGCAAAGGAGAGCTGAAAGCTACGCACATGGGAAGACGAAGAATAGGAGGTGGTGGATGAGCAGGAGGATGATCAGGACGAGAAGGAAGAGGAAAAGGAGGAGGAGGAGGAGGAGGAGGAGGAGTAGGAGTAGGAGGAGGAGGAGGAGGAGGAGGAGGAGGAGGAGGAGGAGGAGGAGGAGGAGGAGGAGGAGGAGGGACAGTAGCAGCAGCAGGAGCATGAGGAGCAGGAGGAGCAGGAGGACCAGGGGAAGGCGAAGGAGGGGACAGAAGGGGGTCGACCACGACGAGGAAGGACTCCTGCCAGAAATGTGGCCCGCGCTGGGCCGAGAGCGCCACTCCCTTCTGGGACCCTCTTGGGCTATCCTGGGGCCCGCTGGGGCCTTCTTGGGTCCGTCCGGATGCTCTATGGCCCTGTCGGGGCCGGCTTGAATCAAGAACGCGAGCGGATGTAGCCACAGCGCTCCGATTCAACGGGGAGCATGCGTTGCCCGCAGATGGCTCTCGGGCGCAACTTTTTCCAATTCGACCGGGCCACTGTTGGACAGGAGGGGCACCGGTATGCCGCGTTGGAAGTGTGCGCGGGCTCCGCTTCCCACCACGCCGACGGGCTCGAGCTGCGCACCCTGGGCGTCACCGAAGGGGCCTCGCTCGGGGCGGTCGCGGACAACGCTGCGCTGCGGACGGCGCTGCAGACGGCCCCAGAGAGGCGGAGATTGCTGCAGACGTTGAGAGGCCAGGTCTTCTGGCATGGCGAGCGCAAGCGGGAGAGCCGCGCGCCGTCACAAGGGTCAAGCAAACCTGAATGCCGCGGCAGGGGACGGAAACGGCGAGCAAGCAGCACGCTCAGATGTCGAAGACAGCCGAGCCCGCGTGCCGAAGAATCCGACAGCTGCGCCAACGTTGTCCTCAGCGAACTTGTCCTCGGCTACGGCCAGCATGTGCCGAATGTGGAGCCCGAACACCACTGCCGTCGTCAAGAACAAAATCCCGCGACCACATCACGTAGGCCAGCCTCGAATACATGCCCACAGAAGTCCTGCATCCGGAGGAACCCCAGTCGGCGAAGCGTGCCGTCCGATCAGTCGACGCACCACTGACCATGGCCACGGAACGGAACCAGCGAAGAGCGACGGGTGCAGGCCACGGTTGCACTGTAGTGGGCCCGAGCACCTCCTGCGGGGGGACAGCCGCAGGGAGAGGGCCGTGGTGTCTGCTGGCACTGGCCCCAGCGTCACGGGGGGAGCGCCGGGGGCCACGTACGCGCTGTGGGTGGCGGTCGCAGTTAACAGCCGCAGGAGCAAACAGTGGGTAAGCCCGTGCACCTACTACGGGGGGACAGCCGCAGGAGGACGGACGGGCCAGACAGCCCGGAGAGGCCATCGATAAATCTTCTGGCACCAGCACCCCTGGAAAGAGCGCCGCGGGCCAAGGCCGTACTGTGAGTGGCGGTCACAGCTAACAGCCGCAGGGATAGTGAAGTCAGTGGGCGTGCCCGTGCACCTCCTGCGGGGCGATAGCCGCAGGAGGGGGACGGGCCAGACGGTCCAGGAAGTTCGTTGCCTGCTGGCCCCAGCGCCCCGGGGGGAGCGCCGAGGGCCACGGACGTACTGTGGGTGGCGGTCGCAGCCAACAGCCGCAGAGCTAGTACAGACAGGGTGAGCCCGAGAACCTCCTGCGGGGAGAAAGCCACAGGAGGAGGGGCGGGCTGATCGGATCAGGGCGGATGACCGCCGCAAGAGCCAGTGGTCACAGAGGGTGGGTCCGGGCCCCGTCTGCGGGGGGATAGCCGCAGGGGGAGCGACGGACCAGGAACTGGTGGGGTAACTTTTTTGTTGGCAACCGCAGGCGAGAACGCCACCGGCGAGTAAGGTCCAAGCGGACCGCGCGGGGGCCTAATTGCCTAGCGCGGAGCAGAGCAGGACCTACAGCCGGGGGAAGCTTCAGCGCCAGGGCTGCAGGCGGTGCCGGGGGTGGGGACTGCTGGTGGGGTAACTTTTTACTCAGCGGCCGCGGGCGAGCGCGCCGGGGGCGAGTCAGGTCAAAGCGGGCTACGCAGAGACTGACTAGGCAGAGACAGCGCGAGAACATTAAAGCAGAGGCAACGCGCGAGGCAGCTGGTGGGGTAACTTTTTGGGTCGGCGGCCGTGCGACAAAGGCCAGCCGGCAACAGGCGTGTCCGGGACGGCGGAACAGGCAAATTCCACGCTAGGCGTGCAATACTGGTGGGGTAGCTTTTTTGATTTGCGGCCCGCAAGGAAAAGTCCAGAGGGCGGTATGAACGAGGCTGGGGCACAGCGCAAGATAATTAGCGCGAGAACGCGCGGAATGCACATGCAACAACAAATTAGGAAGAGAGGCGGCCACAGGTGGGCAACCAAAGAACACAGGCCGGACCCGCAGGTGGGAAGCCAGACTGGTATCCAGCAAGAAAATGACCGTGCGAACCACAGGGCGGAAGCTAGAACAGTTCCATGCAAAAACACTGGGCGGATGCCAGCGGGAGAGAGACTGGTGGGGTAACGCGGAGCGTCCAGAATTTCGAAGGAACGGCCGAGCCCCTTTTTGGAGGCGTCCCCCCGCCGTTGCCCCTCGTCTCGGGCGGCCCCCAGGGATCGCCGAAGGGGGGCTCCCTGGCGAAACAAAAATATGCGAGGGGGTGCCAGCAGACCCGAGGAACCACACCGGCCCCCTCCGAACCCGAGCTGGGCCTTCTTTCAACGCCACGAATGTATCAGGGGGGCGTAAGACCCGGGTACAGGGGGCTCGGGAATCCCCGACGAGGTCGTCAAAACAAAATGACGAGGCCGAGCCTGCATTTTGACGAGGCCTCCCGCGGCAGACATCCCACGAAACTCATACTCGTCAAAATCCGAGTCGCGGTCGTCAAAAAACGATGGCGAACCCGAGTCCTGGCAAACCCAGGTCTTACGCTCCCCCGAATGTAACCATCCGTCGGAAGAAGTAGGTAGAACCTCTTCCGGTCGAACCTAAGAGGGCCGCGTGAAGCTTGACTTAGGCAGAGAAGAGGAGGGAGGAAGCGGCAGAGCCTCAGAGCGAGGCCGAGAGGAGGCATAACCTCGGATACAGGCGGTGCCGAAGCCGAAGTTCTTGCAAAGGGACGCCAAGTAGGTAGAAACATGAAGTAGGAAGGCGTCGAAATTAGATTGGGTTCCGTCCGCCCCCTGTAGAGGACGGACAGGGTGAAACCACTCGATCATTGAAGTGGGAAGGCACCTAAAGTAGATGGGAACCTGGGAGTCGCCAAATATCTACTTTCATCGACCGATGGGTACTTGATTCGATTGTGGTTCATGCCCCCCGCTGTCTTCATCACGAAATTCATTAAGGACTGCACAGGCCATTGTACACGGCTGGTTCCAAGAGCTACCACCCACAGGTACTCCCTCCGCCAGCTCATGGCTTGCAAAGATGCGCCATCTTTTCCCGTTTTGACACCAGTGCGTTGACCACTGCTGCGAATCCAGATGGTGTGGATCGCGAGCAAGACACGGCGCGATGGTGGCGACGATGACACCTTCACGAACTGAAGGCGACAACTCAGAAATAAAACATTCCACCATGAGATGAGATGCGCCGTCGAGCATACCCAACAGCTACACTCAAGCACAAGCACTGGAAATGATAGCCGCAGTCATCTCGATGTCCCGGCCCCCGCCGCCCCGCCGATCGCGGAACAGCCAGTCGCACTGCGGCGCCTGCGCGCCGCGCAGAAAGAACAGGCGCCCCACCAGGAACACCGCCACGCCCAGAGCTGCCTCCCACTGCCTGTGCTCGCAGCCACCGATCACCACGGACGCGGAGTCGTGCACGAACAGGGCGGACCCGAGCAGGAAGCACGCATTCCCCCACAGGAGCGACGGCGCCCGCTTCCACGGGAGGTACACCCCACCGGCAAAGTGGAACGTCGGTCTGACGAGCGCCGCGGCGCCCCAGAGAAAGAGCTGGGCGCCTGCAAAGCTCAACCACCGCTTCGCTCGGCTGGCGTCGACCTCGAGCACGACCAGGGAATAATAGCCCAGGAAGGCGGTGTACCCGAGCGTGAACAGCATGACTCCGAGCATATAAAGCTTTGGAAGCCTAGGGTCCATGAAGACAAACATCAAAAGGAAGGACCAGTACGTGAGTGTGTAGATGAACTGGAACAGAAGATTCAGATTCAGTCCAGTAGGGCCACCGTAGGCTGGGCTGGTCATCAGGGCGAGCACGAGGCCCGCAGCAGTGGTGAATATGTATGTCCAGGAACACAGCATGACCCAGCGAATGGGCCAATCGCCCATTGCGAACTCGCTGCATCTCTGCCACACTCCGCCAGGCGCGTTGCTCGTGCCCGTGATTGCAGTCACGTGTTGTCCGCCCCCGCTCTCCGCATCCTCCAGCGGCACCTCGAAGCCCCATACCGTGGACTTCCGGGTCCCAGCCGCCTGGAAGCGGCATGTCCGCCTCGAGCGGGGCGTGGGGGTCGTCGCCCCCGAACCATTGCCAGTTTCACCATGTCCCTGGGGTGACTCGCTGAATTGAACGCGGCGTGCCCCAACGCTTGGAGGCTCCGTCGGCGCCGCCGCGTCCGCGGAAATGGCCTGGCTGGCCATCTCCAGGCACGGTGGCGACCGATGTGACCCTCAGAGCTATAAGCACATTATCAGTGGGTGACTCGGCACGCTGAGCCAGCGCGTCTACGAAACAATGTTTCGGCATTATCCCGCTGCCCCTCCCCAGGGGCCCAGCATCATGTGTGAGTGGGTGGACTGGTTACGCAGGATGGGTCCCCACGGCCTCTCCCAGGAGGTCGCAAGACAGCCTCAGGATGGCCGAGGTGGCTCCCAAGCCTCCCAGGCGGCGTCCGTGAGAGTCAAACAGTGTGAACCCTGCATGTTTCAAGAGTGGCCCCAAAAGACTTCTGGAAAGCCTCGGGTTGGTGACTGTTGGCCGCTGCGTGGGCTTGTCTCTCCTTTGGTTCGACCAGTGTCACCTCACCCTACTGCTAATCCACTCCCCTTCTCCCGACAACTCGCCTGGGAATCGATTCCGGGCTGGCTGGTCTACGCGAAGTGCCGAGGATCGTTCCCGCTCAATATCCTTCCTCCTCCTCCTCCTCCTTCTCCTCCTCCTCCTGTGCCCGCTCTTTCTTCTCTCCACCGCATGTTTTCCCATTCTCGGGGCCGGCGGGATGGCGTCAGCCTCTAGACGACTTCCACCCCCGCAAGTGGCCTCAACCAGCATGTGCAAGGACTCGGCGCGACATGTGACACAGCTTGTGCAACAGGTTGCGCCGTCTGTTGTGCGATTGGTTGTCCAGTATGTTGCGCTATCCACAGCGCCACACACATATACGCACACAAGCGCGCACGCACGCACGCACGCACGCAGTGTTTGGCGTCGCGGCCCTGCGCGCAGCGACAGGGCGTAGAAGGTCGAACAGCAGGAACCGCGCGCGCGCACGCACACGAACACGCGCGCACGCACGCACACACACAGACACACACACACATGCACACACATCACACAGACACACACACACACACACACACACGCACACACACACAGACACACACACAGACAGACACAGACACAGACACACACACACAGACACACACAGACACACACACACACACACACACACACACTCACGCGCGCGCGCACGCACGCACGCACGCACGCACGCGCACGCACCGCCCCGAGGGTCCCCCTCTGCGTTGCGCCAGACACCTCGCAACCCCGAGTCAAGCGTTGGCCAGCTCTGCCTCGCCTTGCACCACAGGTTGCGTTAGACACCTTGGATCCAAGACCACCGACTCAGTAATTTGTCCGCCCTGTCATGCTGCGCCGTAAGCTTCTGCGTGGTTTGCGCCAGACCCCGAACCACGAATGAACCATTTCCATCCCCCTGCGCGATGAACCGCTCTATGTGCTGAAAAGTGCTGGGCGAGACGTCCCGCAGCCCCCGACTCGCGAGTTGGTCCCCCTATCCCCCGCTGCGCCATAACTTGCACCAGACAATCCGCAACCTCGAATCACGACTTAGTATTTAAAAACCCATAGCGTTCGCCGACTGGGGAATGAGGATGATGGGGAGGAATCGGAAGAGAAATGGGAGGAGAAGCATGACGAGGAGGACGCCGACGCACAGCGCAAGGATGAAGACCCGAGCGGAGCACTCGTTACAGTCCCAGGGAGGAAGATCGGAACTGATCCAAACAGACCGAGAGATGAGCCACCAAGAGGTGTCTGGAAGCTGTTCGATTCGGCCAGCGATGCCGCAGGCGTCGGAGACGACGCCGACGCAGAGCGGGGGAGCTAATCTGGGGCTGGGGTCCTCGGTATCTCTGGGCACGCTGGCTCCTGCGAGATGGAATTCAGATCTCCTCCCCCCGTGCCTTTCTCGGACCTCCTCCCTCCTCTCTCTCTCTCGGCCAACACGCCTCCATCCGCCTGGCGCACTCTCGTCCCTTCCCCCCACCTCACCCCTGCACGCACCTCCCCTTCTGCCTCACTACCTCTGGGGGAACCAACAGGTACCAATACCGCAAATCCGCGGACCTCTCCTGGGGTGCGTTCTGACCAGCACGTCGAGGCGAACCCACGCGCAGCAACGAGCGCCTCCCGGGAGGCCCCCACGAGACAAATGTAGCGGCATCGGTACCTTGTCCTGCTCTGGACCCTTGCTTTCCCCCTCCTCCAGTGGTTGGCGGCGCGCAGAAGGGGGGCAGGGGGAGAGAGGCAGGCTTCTTGGACAGAAGCCGCTTCTTAGAAGGCGCCGGCCTGACATCTGCAGAGAAGGCCCGCGCCTTCTGAGAGGGTGCTGCTAAGAAGCCTTCCCCCCCCCCCCTACCCCCCTCCCAGACCCCCGACGTCATGATTTTTCCACGACGCGACCCCCCAGAGGCCCCGACCCATTCCCCGGGACCGGTTTCTCGTTTAAGCGATTTTTGACGGTCCCAGGGCCCCCAGAGGCCTACCCCCCTCTGTGCGTGGCCGAAGTGTTGAGCAGGCCCAGAGATCCGACGTCGTGATTTTTTCAATGCGCGGTCCCCCGACGTCTTGACCCATTCCCCAGGACCGGTTTTTCCCCCCGAGTCGTTTTTTGACGGTCCCGGGGCCCGGCGAGGGCCCCTATAGAGGCTGAAAATATAGAAACACCTACCCTCCACCTCCATCTTCCATACCTTCCGACCTCTGCGGAAGGCGCGGAAGGTGATGCATTGAAACTGTTGAAAGCCTCAGGAAACGCAGGAAAACTAAGCATCTCACGCAGCGCATGAGCGTGAAAGCTCAGCACGGCAGGCCTGGAAGAAGGAGGGCGAGGGTACGTACGTCTTCATTTTTTCAATGGCGGGGCCGACCGTCCCGGCATCCTCGACTGCTTGCGTCCCAGACCCCCGACGTCATGTTTTTTTCATGACGCGACCCCCAGAGGTCTGAACCTATTCGCCGGGACCGGTTTTTCACCCCGAGTCGTTATTTGACGGTCCCGAGGGCCGGGAAGGGCCCCCGGAGGCCGAAAACATGGAAAAACCTGCCGTCTTGATTTTTTCATGACTCGAGGGGGTCTGGGGTGGGGGCGGGTCGGGGCGCGCCCGTCGCAGCGCCGGCTCCAGGGCGGCAAGCTCGGGCGCCGGCCCTCGGCGCC